CACACACACACACACACACACACACACACACACACACACACACACACACACACACACAGGTACGTAATACTATATGTTCAAATAATGGTATTACCTGGGTTGGGACCCACACTAGGGTTGGGACCCACACTGGGGTTGGGGTTAGGGCCCACGCTGGGGTTGGGGTTAGGATTGATAGTGGTGCCCTGAGTCACTGGGCGGGTGTTCTGTCCAGTTACTGGGTTAGTGATTCCACACAGAGGCTTTCTACAGCAGGCGTTGTTCTCATCTCTCACCCAAACACAGCCCTGAGGCAAGGCAGGATAGGATGGGCAACTGCAAAACAATATATATATCTACCATTAAGTTGAACAGCCTCACTGGGACCATCAGTGATGTTTTAAGTTATCAAAAATCAAAAGTGAAATTCAGTAAAAGATTGTAATTGTCAAATGAAAAAAATCATCTCAATTAAAAAAAAGATATAATTTTTAGCCTAAACTACACCTTAATTCAAATTTAGTCTCTCACCTTTTATTACTCTGAAGTAACTATATAATATTATGTATTAAATACTGGTATAGTCCAGTTATAAAAATTATATTGAGGAGTTAATATATTTTGCCAAAATCTGCTTGATAAGATCTTTTAAAAGAATAAGAATGATGTAAAAACAGCCAAAGTTCACTCACATTTCTGTGCACTGGTAGTTGCCAGTGGTGCCATCTACGCAAATGCAAGTGTAATCACAGCCATCCTGCCATCTTTGACCTTGAGTGTATGTGCGGCCTTTGTATTCACACAGATCTGGCAATAATTAAATTAAATCTTAATTACAAAAAAGAATCTAAAAAACATACAAAAGCAACACAACGAAATAAAATACAAATAACAAATCAAATTGCAATTTTATTCTTAAAGAAACATCTTGTTGAAATAAATCTAAAAAAAAATTTACTTCTCCCTGTGACTGGTTTCCCAATGCCAGTGATAGTTCCTGGACCAATGGGTGTGATGACTGGATTTGGATTAGGAGTGACATTTGGATTGGGGTTAGGGTTGGGATTAGGAGTAACATTAGGATTGGGGTTAGGGTTGGGATTGGGAGTAACATTTGGATTAGGATTAGGATTGGGGTTGGGTGCTATTGTTGTTCCCTCAATGGTTGGGAAGGAGCACTGTGGTTTCTTGCAGCAAACATCCAGAGGATCATTGACAAGTTTGCAGTAAGATGGAAGACTGGAATATGTTGGGCATCTGGAACCATATGGAGACACTATAAATAATTGAACCTCTTTTTTTTTATATCTTACTTGCCAGCTTGATGAATTAAAATTTTTAACAATGTTTAACAACCTTGCATCTTTTATCAAAATGTAATGTAAAAATATAATTTTTTGAAAATATTAACTGCCTTTGAAGAACAAAGTCAGAATATTCTTATTGTTAAGGAAAGTGGGTCCAGTAGAACTTAAACTTATTCTCACCTGTCAGAACACCTGTAGAAGCCAGTCATGTCATTCTCACACACACAATCTTGGCAGTTGTTGGTCCATCTCTGTCCCTGTGAGTACTGACGGCCATTCATCACACAGTAATCTGTTTGATAAATAAATGTGATGAGACAAAAAAGAAAATATTGATCAAAATATCATCATCATCATTTCCTTGTTTGGTAAAAATAATTTGTATAATAGTGAAAGCAATTACTGATCTCAAGTTGGTACAAGTTTGCATGAAACAAAATGAATTATTATGTATTTAGTATCTGAGAAATAGATCAGCACAAATCAATAATTTCATCATTCTAATCAATGAACTATTTCCTGATACTTACTCCTAGTTGGGAAGGTAGGGCGTGGCTTGGGTGTGGTACTTCCCTGCCCAGAGATCGGAGGGTTGGTAACAGCGGGGACGGTGCATTTTGGCTTTGAGCAGCAAGGGTCAGCTGGGTCGGCCTGGAGGGTACAGTAGCTCGGCAGGTTGACGTAACGAGCACATCTGCAAATATTACGACCGAGATTTTTTTTGGTAATGTCATATAATATTTCTATCAAAAGTCATTAATAAGCTTGGAAGGTTGACAAAATCTATACTTAATACAAGAAAGTAGTTAAATTAGACTTCTGTGACAAAAAATGAAAATTTCAATAATGCAAGGTTTTTTTTTCTTTTTCCAAAAAAAGTCAAACACTGAGAAAAGGGGCAACAAAAAGTTTCTTGTGTTTCATGTTTCTTAGCAGTCAATTTCCCTGTACATTTACCCTTAGAAAAAACAAAATATTATAAATTAAGTTTCAAAGATGGCGGACAACACCAAATATTCAACATTCATGTACAGAAACAGATCTCTGCTGCTTACCTTTCCGTGCACTTGTACTTTCCTGTCTTTTCATCCTCACAGATACAATTGAAATCACAGCCATCTTCCCATTTCTCTCCCGTCTTGTATTTCTGTCCATTGTACAGGCAAACCTCTGCAAATTATTATCAAATGCAGCATATTTGTTTTTTATTTGACTAGTAAAAAATTTAACATAAATTTACTCCTAGTTGGGAAGGTAGGGTGTGACTTTGCTGCAGTATTTATCTTTTTAAAGTTTATGATTAAAATAAACTGTGTATTTTTCCTTACCAAATTGTACTCAGTTAAAAGAAATTTTGGGACCAAATATTGAACTTATTAATTATAAATAACTGAATAAAGTGAGAACTTTGAGGCATAGTGAAAGTTTATGTATAAATTCAAACGTTCTTTTTTCTTACCTTCTCTTACTGGAATAACTGGATTGGGGTTTGGTGTAACATTAGGATTAGGATTAGGATTGGGATTTGGATTGGGGTTTGGTGTGGCATTTGGATTGGGGTTTGGATTGGGGTTTGGTGTAGCATTGGGGTTTGGATTGGGGTTTGGTGTAGCATTGGGATTTGGTGTGGCATTTGGATTGGGGTTTGGATTTGGATTAGGATTGGGGTTTGGTGTTGGGTTTGGACGTCCAATTCCAGTAATTACGCCAGGAATGGCAGTTGGCACAATCGGCTGGCCTGTCCCTGTTCCTGAAACATATGCCAAAAATTGCTGTATATAGTATGTTTTTGTGTGCTTATTAAAAAATCTTGTTCATTTTGATAAAAATTGACATCCCAGAAATACTCAAAAATTAAAAATAATCACATCGAATAAAATATTTTTTATCACTTATCATAGACAAAAATTCATCACTCATCATAAAATGTCACCAATAACAAAAAAAAAAAATAAAACAGAGAATCCCACATCAGTTGCAAATTACACTTGAACTGCCTTAAAATATGTGTTCACAATTTTATAGAAATAATACTGAAATAAAATCCACACCTGTGATGGTTCCAGTGGTTCCTGGGAAGTTGCATTGTGGGATCATACAACAAGAATCCTGGGGGTCCGTAACCATGGTACAGTAGCTGGGGACATTTGGGTATTTGGGGCATCTGAGAAAAGTTGACATATTAAAAAATGAAGTTGCATGTTTCAGATCATCTCTGACTGAGACATAGGGGTATTTTGCTATGTAGGCATTCAAGATGCACTGCGGGATAAAAAGTAGAATCTTGAGGGCTGGTAACTCTAGCAATTCATCTGAATGGAAGTTGAGGTATAAACGTTTTACAACCTATAATCAAACTAACTGAAACGAGAAAAAAATTGAGTTAAAAAAATTTTTTAGATACTTTTTAACTTCCCCTCACCTTTCGTCACAGACCCAATAGCCTCTAATGGCGTCTTCACAGCGGCAGTTCTTATCACAACCATCAGTCCATCTCTGGTTCTGGGTGTAACGAGCATTGTTATACACGCAATAGTACACTGAAATAAAAGAAAAACTATTTTCAACTGCAATGCCAAATTTTTCATGAAGCAATCAGTTTTTTAATGTCCCTCCAAGACTACAGATAAAACTGTTGTGAAAGAATAAGATTCTTTATAAATGTATCATTTCAGCCTATTACAGCATAAAAAATGCTCAAAAAAGGAGAATAAATCAAAGCATTCTGCAATATATTATATTACCTTGTTGGGATGGGTTGGGATTCACAACTGGATTAGTACCACCACCTGTGATACCTCCTGGATTGGTGCCTGGATTGGTGCCTGTGATGGTGCCTGGATTGGTCCCTGTAATGGTGCCTGGATTGGTGCCGGTGATGGTCCCTGGATTGGTGCCAGTGATGGTGCCTGGATTGGTGCCAGTGATGGTGCCAGGGTTGGTGCCGGTGATGGTGCCAGGGTTGGTGCCAGTGATGGTGCCTGGGTTGGTGCCTGTAATGGTGCCTTGGCCAGTGTTGACACCCGTGGTGCCAGTAAAGTCACACTTTGGTTTCTGACAGCAAGCATCGTTGGGATCAGGGATCAGGCGACACTGAGCTGGTAGTGCTTGGAATGTTGGGCACCTGTTATCAAGAAAAGTCGAGTATCTCAACATATTCTGCATTGTTCTTTCTTTCATATTATAGTATTTTCTAACAATTGGATGGTGTGGTAAAGCTTGGAATTCTCTTTATTTGCTGTATAATGCTAAATTCCAATTACCTTAATTCCAATTTTTTATGACTTTATGAAACAATTTTTTTCATTAGTACAAGTGCACCAATTTCTAACAAAAAGCATGAATTGTCATTGATTTTAAAACTACACTCGTAGTAACAAAACCTGGTTGCACAAGGTAAACATGATACTGGCTTTAACAATGTTTATTTAAAGATCTGTTAAGACTACCAAGAAGGAAATTCTACACCAAAAAACCAATTGGTCTTGCACCATCAGTCGGTCAAATTATAAGGCAACTGCTTTGCATAATTCCCAGTCTAAAAAAGTTCCAGTCTGAATATGCCTCAATTAATCCCAGTTTTTTATGAAACTCACTGTCAACAGTGACAGGTAAAATTCTTTAACTTACCTGTCTGTGCACCTATAGTTCCCAGTTGTGTCATCCAAGCATTCACAGCTGTAGTCGCAGCCATCTTGCCATTTTGCCCCTTTGCTATATTGTCTTCCCTTGTAGATGCAGTAGTCTGAGAAAATAATCAACCAATCAATCTTGATATACAATAAATAAATTAGTCTCACATTTAAACAAATTATCTATTCAAAATGAATTAAATATCAATAACTTGCTTACAAAAATGGAATCATATAATCTGTGTGCACATGTAAGGCTTGTGTGTGCGTGCATGCATTCTTACGTGCGTGCTTGTAATTATTATATCAAACAACTTACTAGGTCTGGACCCTGGTGCAGGTGTGGGTCCTCCAGGGACGACTGGGTTCCCAGTTCCTGTGATTATTCCAGGAACAGCAGTTGGGATGACCACAGATGTTCCTCCAGTCTGACTTCCAGGAATGACAACTCCTAAGAAACATAACAGAAAACACAAATTATAATATATCCTCTGAGAAGTACGATACGGTATCCAATGGTTACAAACATTTTTTGAAAAACTGTTAATTTACTTGAAACATCTTACTATCTTTTACCTCAAACAAAAAAGGCTTTCAAGGTGACTGATCACCAAATTAAAATCCTTAACGTAAAATTTGGTACACATGATTTGAATTGGCAAAAATTTCATCAATATATAAAATATCTTTAAAAAATGCTATCCCCATTCAACACTGCAGAACTACCATCAACAACATAATGTGTATACAGTAAAAAGTGATGGGTTTCCGTAAATATACCTGGAACATTAGTGCCACCGGTGCCAGTTATCTGTCCATAAGTGGGTTGGAAGTTACACTGTGGTTTCTGGCAGCAGGCAGGGTCCCTGGGGTCAGCCACCAGGGTACAGGCACTGGGGTAGTCTCTGTAGGTGGGGCACCTGGGAAGAGTAGACAATACTCATATGTGATATTCGCTTTTTAAACAGCTTTTATCCAAGTGCAGTGAAGCATTTTCATTTGATCTCAAAACCCAATATTATTTCTGAATTTGGAAGCCTGTAGATTTGTAAACGTATGTGTGTATTTACTTGTGTTTACAAAGCAACACTGCTTTTTTAGAGTTTTTCCTTTTCAGTTTAATGTAAATAGAGCACTGACATTACGTATTTGATAAAAAAATATTATTCCCATTCCAATATTCCCTGCATAACATTTTGGTAGTAATGCTTATTTGTACGCAATATCTCAAACAGAACAGAAAACAAACTCAATCAATGAAAACAAAACATAAAATCTCTGGTACCTATTGCTGCATCTGTAGAATCCTCGGGAACCATCTTCACAGACACACAAGTACTGGCAGCCATCATACCACTGTTGTCCCGTGGTGTAGTAGCCATTTTTATACACACAGTATTCTGTTAACAAAGTAAAAACACTAATAAGTGACTGAAGAATACACTTTCGAAAAAAAAAGTAAAAAGACTAAAAAGTAACTGAAGATTATGCTTTTGAAAAATTAACAAAAAAAGATAATGCGAAGGGTCTTTTTAGCTTTTTGTGTTGTATTCTCTGAAGGGGTAAGAGGTCTGGAAAAAGTCTAAGGCCGCATTCAGAACAGTAGACTAACTAGTTAGCGGGTCAAATATGGTGACCCAATGAAAAGCTTGTCATCTAATCTGCTAAAAGACACTGGATAGAATCACCGTGGGAAATTATTCAAGTGGCTCGGGCCATATCTGATCCGCAGACTTGTTAGTCTTTTGTTGTGAATGCGTCCTAAATGATATTTCCACACTTACCTCCCTGTATGGGTGGCTGGGTAGGTCTGTTGGTGACCACGCCCCCTGTTTGCCCTGTGTTACCTCCATT